GTCTGTCTGTCTGTCTGTCTGTCTGTCTGTCTGTCTGTCAAGGTAAGTGAGCTGCTTAGCTCCCAGACAGCTGTTGCATGAGAGCAGGAGACAGCCAACAGCAACACTTAGAACACAGCAGCTAGTGTTGGTTCCCTTTCTACTCATAAACCCGCTTATCCTCTAGGACACTCCAGGAATTCTAATTATAATTCAGGAATGAAAATAAAAATTACATGTGGAATTTCCCAAAGGCTTAAAAATAATTTATTATAATTTATGTGCACATTGGTCTGTCTGCATGTGTGTGTACATGCATGTGCTTGTATACCAGAGGAGAAGCACTCTTTAACCACCAAGCTGTCTCTCAAGACATCATTTTTCAAACTATGATAGTGTTCTTTCTTAACATAGGCCTGATGTTGTAGATGTACCTAACCTTTATACCCTAGTTTATGGTATAAAACTAATCATGAAATACTCTTTTAAGGATTCATCAGCATTAACAATTCAATTCACAGTAATGGAAAAACTAATGGGTTTTAACTTAAGAGCAGAATTTAGATTGTGACATTTTAGGATTATTTATTAACTCACTTTAGATTGAGTTCATCGTTGTGTTGGTAAAACACCATGACCAAAGTAACTTGGGGAGGAAATGATTTAATGGAATATGCTTCCATATTGCTGCCCATCACTGTGGAAAGTCAGGGTGGGACCTGAAAGCAGGAGAAACCTGCAGGCAGGAACGGAAGCAGAATCCATCAAGGATCCCTGCTTACTGACTTGCCTCGTGTGGTTTCCTTAGCCTGCTACTTATATACTCCATGAACACCTTCCTAGGGGTGGTACCATGCTCAGTAGCCTGGGACCTCCCACATCAATCATTAATCAAGAAAATGGCCTATATACCTGCTTGCAGACCAGTGTTATGGAGCATGTGATCAATTATGGGTCTGCTTTTCTAGGCATGCCTATGTTTTTGTCAAGTTGACAAAACCCAACCAGCATGCTATTACTCCTTGTTAACTTGACAAACAAACATAATAAACGAACACCATTAAACTATAACCTTTCATTTCTGTTAGTCCTCAAGATGACAATATAAAACATTTTAACTTTCCTAAATTCAAGCCTTTAAAAATTCAATTATTTTAAAAGTCCAGTCTCTTTAAAACATCCAAAGTCTCTATCTAAAATTGTTAGTACCTCAAAAACGACAACGTCTCTCTAAAATTCAACAATATCTTAATTGTGAGATTCTGTAAAAGAAAAAAATAAGTTACATATATTTTTACTTCAAGAGGGAAAACCAAAGCACAGTTGAATCAAATTAAAGCAAAACAAAACTCCGGGAGTATAAATAACTTGGTTCCAATGCCCAGGACTCAGGGTCTCTGGGCTGCAAGGGAAAGCTACACTGTGCTGCTGAGTTTCTGTTTGCTGTCCTTTTGTTTCAGTAGTTTTTTTTTAAAATTTACTATCCCAAGAATCCTTGGAGAGGTATAAATTAATAGAAGGCATGTATTTTATTGTCCTAATCCACTCACTTAAATTCTGAAAACCTGGGACATTTTCTGTTTTTGCAACCAAGTGGAGTATGTGTCTTCTATAAACTTAACAGAGGCAATCCTCTTCCGTAGTTGATGAATCCCCTGGCACCTGGCTGTGAAGACTTGAGGAAGTTTGATAATCAGCGCTCTTTGTTCGTTTTTGGTTACCGAATCACTGACGTGGTTTGCCAAGACAAAGATACTAAGGAGAGAAAATGCTTCACTTTGGAAACATTTAGAGGTGTGCATTTATTCATCCCATCCTGAGACTTTTTAGGCTGTTCACAGTCACCTGTGCTCTGTGTCACAGAACTTTTGGGGACTTTGAATTACTGGCACTTCATTTGAAAGAGATTAGTAAATATACAAGATTCCAAAGTAATCGCCACACAAACTAAAAACAATCAATCATAACTCAGATTTAAATGTCTGAGGTTACACTTATTTTAAAAATGCCATCATTTTGTATATTTTATAAAAGACATAAAATTACTTTATGGCTTGTGATTTAATATTGTTTGCCAATCAACTTTGAAATTTATGCTTACAAGCTTGTGCCAAACTATTTATGATAGTTAGCTAAAGTACAGTTGTGAAACAAGTGTTTTTCTAGTTGTGTGATTTATAGTTAGAATAAAATTAACTTTATGTTTTTGCTGTAAAATAAGCAAGTCCACTTCTTCCTTTTCCTGCTAATTTTAGATAGATGGGCATTGTTCCTCTAAATGTTTAGAACTCTAAACAGTTTTATTCTCCATAAACAACCTCTTCAGTGAGTTTTACTGCATTTAATTGCTAGAATACTTTGAGTTCCTTCACAATAAGGTCCTTACAGTTGGCAAGTCTACCTTCATCACCTATTAGTGCTATAATATTTTAATTTATTGGTACTTTCTCCAGGGCCACCACCCCATTTCTTTTCCTGAAGACATTATTCCAACCAATTTATTTCCTGAGGAAAATAGTTAATATAACTATTTGCATCCTACTGAATGAGAACATCCCATAGGCTAACATCTTTGAATACCTGGTCTCCAATCGGCGATACTATTTGGGGATGTTTAGGAACCAATGCTTTGCTAGGGGAAGTATGTCACTGAGGGTGAGGCTTTGAGATTTCAAAGCCATGTGCCTTTCCCAATTTACTCTACTTTCTGCTTGCAGTTCAAAATGTAAGCCATTAACTTCTGCTCTGATTGCTATGTCTGTCCGCTGCCATGATTCCCCAGCACGATGGTGACGGACTCCTGAGGCTGTGATCTCAAACAAACCCTTCCTTCTGTAAATTGTGCTATGGTCGTGGAGTTTATCACAGCCATAGGAAAGCAGCTCAGACAGAAGTTTGTGCCAGCGAGTGCTGTAGTGGGTCTGACCATGCTGTTTTTGAAACCAAATTAAGCAGTAGGTCTAATGCACTGATGGCAGTGTTATTTCCAGCAGTCTGTCAGGTAATTGAGCAACCCTTATAGCCAAGACTCTGCACTCCTTGCTTTCTTTAAATACCAAAGTTGTTCTGATTTTATCCTGACCTAGCAAACTACCATAAACCCTACTGGGCTAAGTAGGCCTTTGAACTTTGGACTTGAGAATCAGATGACCACTGTTAGTGGAGATTAATGGGCCCTCCTCATAGAGACTTCAAAGACAAAATTTCTAAGAGCAATGTGGGACCATGGAGGCCTAATTCATGAGGCTTCAGTGAGGAAAAATTTTTAGCAGCTGACTTAAAGATTCTTGTGATATTTTGGCAAAGAATGTGGATGCTTTCTGCCCATGTCCTAAGAACTTGCTTTGGCTAAATTGAAAATTAATGGACTGATTTTTTTGGTGGAAGAGATTTTTAACACATTCTAATATTAATTTTGCTGCGTGGTTTTTAATAATCGCTCTTATGTTCTGAAAAAATAGCCCAGTAGGGTTTATGGTAGTTTGCTAGGTCAGGATAAAATCAGAACAACAACTTTGGTATTTAAAGAAAGCAAGGAGTGCAGAGTCTTGGCTATAAGGGTTGCTCAATTATCTGACAGATTGTGAAAATAATACTGCCTTCAGTTGGTTTCTGAATCTCGAGGAATTGACCTGAAGATCTTCCCAGGTCCTTGACTGTGTCAGAGGCAAGAATTAGAGGTTGTTATAGAGGAGAAACATTGGTGCTTTATTGAGAGAAGAAATAGGACGGACATTAGATTTAAGTGTGGGTTAGTTAGAGAGGAAGGAGGAATTTTTAAATGACCTCACAGTGTGTGTGTGTTTTTAAACCTTTTGAAATTGCATTGCTTGAAAGATGTAAATGATCAGTTTCAATGATTAGTAAAAGTCTAAAATTCACACAAAACACAAGGGGTTGATTTGTTACTCTTAAAAAATTTCATTGTTGTAAATAAGATTGTGTGTTCAGGTTAAGGACTGAGAGAAGAATCTTAATATAGCTAAACCCAAACATCATGGATGTTCTGGTCTTAAAGAAGTAGTATTTATTTGTGGTTTTTGCATCCTTTCTTGAGAGTCTTAGGAAAGTCATTTTTTTTTTTCTAGCTAGTCTTTACTGGTTTTGTCAACTGTATCCAGTTCTAGCTTCTCAGACAGTGTGATGTGCAACCAGACTTAGAATGAGAAGCCATTTCCCTGCCCCAATATTTTCTTTCTATCTCATCTCAAAATAATTGAGCAAATTCTGTTGTTTTCTTTCCTTATGATCCTTTCCCTTCTTTATTTTTATTCCTTAGACAAAAACCAAAGATTCATGTAATGGAGACCGAGCACCTTATTTACCCAGTTTGGGTCGTGTGTGCACCCAGTATCTGAGGGGTAGGGGGTCGCCATCCACCTTGAAAGAAGACTGATGAAGAATTCACAAGGAGCACGCAGTGTGTCTACCGGGAGAATGAAGATCGATTGTGGGGCAATAGTGAAAGATCAAAGTGTTCACCTGCGTGTGGAATCACCAGGGTGCCTTCATTTGGATGCTTTTTCTTTGGACACACAGCATGCATGGTGCCTTGATTTCCATACTGTACACACAGTGATCGG